CATTAAAATATGCAGCCAGTTTGATCTTGGGATTAAGTGTTAAATCACCAGGTTAGAAACCAGCTTTGAGTTTGAGTTTCACCTTAGGTATGAAAGCTGACCTGGTGACTTTGGGCCAATCACCAGGAGAAAGTGAGTTCTAGTTCCATTTTAGGCATGAAAGCCAAGCTAGGTAACTTTGGGCCAATCACCAGGAGACAGTGAATTCTAGTCCCACCTTAGGCATGAAAGCTGGCTGGGTGACTTTGGGCTAGTCTTTCTCAGCCCTACCCACCTCAAGAGGGTTGTTGTGGGGAAAATAGGACTATTAGATAGGTTTGCTACCTTGAGTAGTTTATAAAAGTAATAAAAGGCAAGATAAAAATAATATAAGTCTCTTTTCAGCAGTGTGATTTTAATCCCACTCAAAAATCAAGAGGGGAGTGGGAGATAAGTCCACATCAAAAGTTCAGCCAGTTTTTCCCTCATTTCAGTGGCACAATTTGAGTGGCCTTTAAAGGGTGGAAATGGGACTAGGGTGTCTCCAAAAAGCATTCTGCCCTTGTTACCCATTCACCTTTCTGGGAGATCACCTTTAATTCTCCAATAATATGAAGAGAAAATTGCCTGTTATTTGTCCTCTAGGTACGTGGGTCAGTTCTGCCATGGCACGATACCTTAACACAACCATTATGGATGATACCAGTTTGTGTCAGCAGTGCAATGTCCTTTTTGCAGTCCCTGAAGATCAGCTGCTGAATTTTGGCAGCAGCTCATTAATAAAGCATGTTTTATCTCCCCTTTAATGATCAATAGTACAATTGAGTAAGGTTTTCAATAGGTTTAATGGAACCATCTTATTTTTTTTAAAAAGCACCATGCTAATTTGCAAAGCAGCTATAAATATCTGCCACTCCCTTGTAGTAAATAAAGGAAAAAAGACTTATTTTTTTCCTGGAAAAAAAAATTCCCCACTGGATTGCCAATTATCGCTTAGTGCAGAGTTACTCAGCCCTACAAATATATGTTTTCTGTTAAAGAACAGAATCAAACTGGCTAAGAGGATCCATGTTCTGGACTGCAATTTTCCTAAACTACAAATATACAAAATGAATTGTCAAGTAAAGAGTGGCAGTGTTTCTAATGGGAGCACACACTAGCACTTCCCCGTTCTGCGGAGCGCGCTGTCCCTTGAAAGCAAGTCTCACTAGCCTTTTAATCCCATTACAAAGTCACTTGGCACTCTGGAACTATCCAGGAATGGCCCATTTCAATGTTTTTACCACCCGCCCACCCACCGCCAGATACCCAGTTCTTTCTGTCGGGCAATGGAAGCCAGCATGCTGAGAATGAGAGGCCCTTTGTGGAAGACACAGCAAATTCTAAGCAAATTTCACATTTTGGCAGGGACCCCAAAAAAGGATCTGAAGCTATGAAATAGAGCTATTCAAGAAGAGGGGAGAGGGGCTCATCGCATTAACAGCCACGCCAAGGTTTAATTCTCCAAAATGTTAAGATTCCATTTCAAGGTTGAATTTTTGCATTTGCACATCATGCATTTGGCATTTTCATGAGTTTTTTTTTTTTTTTTTAAAGAGCTATTTTTTTCAGTAGATGTTGTTTGGCCTCATTTTTCAGCTATTTTACCCAGTAGGCTCAACAGAGGGCCTTCTCACAGGAAAGGTTTACTAACAGTAAAAAAGCACTCCATAAAACGAGCACCCTTAACCATAAAATGGGAAATTCCCAACATGCTACAGTATTTCAATACTACAGGCAGTCCTTGACTTACAACCATTTGTTTAGCAGCTGAAGTCGCAACAGCACAGAAATTAATTTACAGCTAATCCTCACACTTACGACCATCTCAGCACCCTGGACAGGTGCTCTGCAACCTGCATGGTATTTACAATGGTTGCAGCATCCTGGGATCATGTGATTACCATTTGGGACCTCCTTTCCTTCCTAGCCAGCTTCCGACAAGCCAAGTCAATGAGGGAAACCCACTTCTCTTATCAACTTCATGATTGACTTATCTGAAGGTTCCTTTAAAAATCGTGACAAGTCAAAAAAAAAAAATCATGACTCACTTAACAATCGCCTCACATAGCAACAGAAATTTTGGTCCCAATGGTTGTTGTAAATTGAGGAGTACCTGTAATCCTCAGGCTCTCATTGGCCGGTTCAACAAGCAAATCTGAAGGTAGCAGGTGTTCTCCCATGCTAGACAGGAGAGTTATAAATGGGGAGTAATTATCCATCACCTGGTACATTCCAACATACATTCTACCTCTAAACTTCAGCTGTTATTCTTTGGGGGGGAAATAAGCATTATGTTGGCTTATTCCAGCTCAAAACCAGGTTGGACAAGCAGTTCCCTCTTCTGAGATACCCACATAAATATGTTCACCAGCGTTAGCCATTATGACTTTAAAGCAAGATCAAGTTATCCATCTAAGGCTCATCTGTGATCTAAAACTGGATCAGGAGAGAAATTTATTTATTTATTTTGGCCATTTTCATCTGCTTCCTGCCAAGATTACACCACCAAAATCGGACAAGGTGCACCCATCACAATGAGGATTATCAGCAGGCAAATCCTTCCATATGGACGTGCTTATTACAGAACCTGGATTTCAGTTTCCAGGATCCACACCCAGCAGCCACTGCTGAATGGGGCGGCAGCTGCTGAAGCATCCAATACCTGAAGCGCCCCAAGATTGGAGAAGGCTGACACAGCACAATAATATGTGCAGTCACTGCCATCTGTGCAAAAAAAAAAAGAAAGCAGACAACCAGGGGTTGTTTCGAACTCCCACCACCAAAAAGAGGGTGAAGATAAGATCGTCTGTTCTTTTGATAAATTGATCTTGAGACAACTCCCCCTTCCCAATAACAGGGATGAGCTATTAATCAGGATCCCCTTCGCACCCTAGAGAAGAAACCGGTCGCCATTATAGTCCTAATTATAACCACAAGTGCTATTTAAAAGATGATGTATCCTATAAGGAAAAGATTCCTCCCCACCCCCTCTAAAAGTTACTTGGAGAGGTACATTATACTATTATCCACATATCCTTGTGCAGGTTGCAGTTACTCATTTTGGGAGGGGGGGGAGGACCTTTCTCACCCTTTTAGACAACTCAGACACTTATGGGGCTGCACAAAGGAAGTTCCCTCACTTGCGGCTTTTTTTGGGGGGGGATATATTTGAATGTTCCAATGCCCCCCTTCTTTTCTTGGATCCAGTCCAAGAGAAACTCCACCTGCAGGCTAGGAGAAGACAGTTCTGGCTGATGATTAAAACCCTGGCCAAAAAAAAAGAAAGAAAGAAAGAAAGAAAAGCCACCCCCTCCCATTTCAAAGCCACTGACTCTAGAAGAATCCAGCAGCTTGGCTTCCTCACTCAAGTGTCCACGGGGATAAAGGCATTGGGTTGCAAAGGAGAAACAAGGTTAAAAGCCGGCAAACCGAGAACCCGCCATCCCTCAGCCACACATACACCATCATTTCAGGTCATGTTACTCTACCTTTTCCCACATGACAAGGCAATTTTCTGTGACCACCTCTATGGGTTTTCTCTCTCTCTCTTTTTTTAATCTGCCCTTCCATATTATGAAAGCCAGACATTCTTATCAAACCTTCCTCCTTGCAAGGAGAAACCCCCGCTAGATTTTCTCCCTGACCCCCCCAAAAAGTCCCAAAGCTGATTAAACTGTTTACCACCCCCCCAAAAAAAGGGGGGAGGGAGAGCTAAGATTCCTCTAACAGGCCAATGGGAAGGTTGGAGGAAGCCCAGGAGAATGCAGATCAGAATGGACAGGATTCAGATCAGTGGTACCCATCCATCCACCCCCCCCCCCATGCAGTGGAAAAGCGGGGTGGGGTGGGGGGGGTCAGAGAAAAGTCAGAAAGGGGGCCGTCTTCCCACATAACATCCATTATGTTGTAGCTTGGACCGAGAGGGTTTTTAGAGTTTGGGGGTTTCAATATAACTTATATATACGTACATTATGTATTTTATAATTTTAACTTGTTTTATTGTTGTGAGCCGCCCTGAGTCTTCAGAGATAGGGCAGCATATAAATTTTATTAATAAATAATAAATTAATTAATTAATAAAGTCACAGACTTATGGGCCAAGGTGGGTCCAAATTGACAGGTAGATTTAAGACTACAGGTATATTAAAAAGGTGTGGAATCCAAGCATCAAAGCCAGGAGAGTTGCAAGGTAGGTGGGTGGGTGGGTGTCGTGTGTAGCAGGACTTGCGGGCTTCCCCCCCCCTTCCCACAAAAAGAGCCTCTACTACTACCCCCAATTCTGCAGAGACCACCCAAAGCGCAACGACCCCCCCCACATATCTCCCCAGGTAAGCCCAAGTGGATGAGGAGCGGCAAGCTTTGGAAGCCCCCCCCCCGGGGGAGGCGGGCGTCAGCTGCCCCCCCCGGAAAGAGAGTCGCCTCCTTTACTTTGGTGGGGGGAGGGGGCGGGAAGCTCCATTTCCCAGCAACCATCCCCAAGTTACGGAGGAGGAGGAGGGGGCTTTTAAGGGGGGGGGGCAAGCGAGGGGCGTGGACCAAAACAAAACGCGCGCAGAGCGCAGTTAAAAAAACCCCGCCGGCATCTCCCAGCCAAGGATGGAATAGAATAGAATAGCAATTTTTGTTATTGGCCAAGTGTGATTGGACCCACAAGGAATTTGTCTTTGGTGCAAATGTGCGTAAAAAGGCAAGATACGTTCGTCAAGAATCATAAGGTACAACATTTAACGAGGGTCACAGGAGCATCGCTTTGAAGCTGCACCCCCCCCCAACCATCCCAGGGCTAAATTCCTCTCCCACCTTCCTCTCAACCCGATCCTCTCCTCCTTACTCTCCATGCAAACGCCATGCATGCATGCATGCATGCATTGCAAAGACGCCCCGGGGGAGTCCCCCGAGTTGCACGCACACACACACACACACATATATACAAACACACAAGCCGGCCGCCTCCTCCCACCCCCCCACCCCAAGCTTACCCTTCAACAGTGGTTCGCCTGGGAAACCCGCGTCAACGACGACGGCAGCCCCTCGGCCGGCGTCCCTTCCCTGCAACGGCAGCAAGGTTTGCAAAGGCGCCCCCGCGCCTCTCTCCACCACCTCCCACCGGCTTCCTGGCTTCTCCGGCCCTCCGGGTGCCAAACGGGAGGAGCGCAGCGGCCGGCCAGCCCGAGCCAAGGAGGCGTCTCTCTCTCTCCCTCGCTTGCAACAGCGCGCTGGCGGCGGCAATGGAAGAAAGGGGAGGGAGGGTGGCTCGCAGCACAGCAGCAGCAGCAGCGTCGACGCCCTCCGCTCCTTTCCCCCAGCAAGCCTCCTCTGGCGAGCTGCCCTCTCTTTCCCACCCCCACCCCCCACCACAAGCGCTGAAATAGCCGTCCCACCCCTTGCAGTGGCTCAGCCACGCCGCGCCCCGATTGGTTGCCGCAAAGCCTCGTCCCACGGCGACGTAGCATTCTCCGCTCGCTCTTCTCGGCCTACATCTTGTTTCGTCCCATAATGCCACGAGGAAATTGCAGAACCGATTGGGGAGGGGAGGGGAGGGGAGGTGGGGGGGGATAGAAGAGGGAGAGAGAGAGAGAGAGGGAGGGGTTGGGGTTGGGTTTGGAGCGTGCAAGCCGGGTGGGTTGCCTTGTGTGCTGTGTGCGAAAAGCCGGCTGCGATTGATTGATTGATTATTTGTATTATATGTATTTTATTTGGCTGTTCACCGCCCTGAGTCCTTCGGGAGTAGGGCGGTATATAAATTCAATTAATATAATATAATATAATATAATATAATATAATATAATATAATATAATATAATATAATATAATATAATATAATATAATATAATAATTTATTTATTTATTTATTTTTGGCCAGCCAAGGAAACTGGGTGCTTAGTTAAATTTTGCAAAATTTTTTTTTGCAAAAATCAAAACTGGGATCAACCCAGTTTTATCTTTTTTTGGGGGGTGGAATGGGGTGCGGGAAGTGATCTCTCTGATTCTTTAAAACCGCTGCAGGCGTGCATCCTCACCCCCCACCCACCCCCCAGGCAGGATTGCAACAGGTCCAGTTTAGCTTTCCATCACCACCACCACCACCACCAGCAACCCCGGTTGCATCGCAGGAGAGGGTTTAAAAAAAAAAAAGGGAGGACCTGTTGGCATTGATCAGCGGTTGCAAAAGCCCCCCATCCGGAGACGGAGATTGCAAAAAATAGAAATAAAATAGAATATAAAAATCAAAAGCTAAGGATCCTGTACGAGCGGCTTTTTCTTTTTCTTTTTTTTTTATGATTACGTGACGTACGGTGTGTAATCTTGAACGCCTATTTTATTTAGGAGGAGGAAGCCCAGCATAACTCGGTTAGGGAATTAAAAAGCGCTGGAATTCTAACTACAGGTTGACTGAGATTCGTAGGAGGGGAAAAACAACAACAACAACCCATGATTTGGATGAGGGATAAAGTTAGGCGAGTTTGTAAAGAGAGGGGGAACGTGGGAGAATGGATTGAAAGGGTGTTTGTGCCAGCTTTTCTTTTCTGCGTTGAAGAAATGTGCACTTTTCCCATCGTTATGAATGTATTGGGAAATTTTTAGTATTTTTACTCGACCATTTTAAAGTTAAATATAACTGATCGCTTTCTGTCCTTCGGATACATCTAGGAGAGGGAGAAAGGAAAAGAATGCAACCGTTTGCCGAATTTATTTTCAACCTGAATTTTGAAAAGAGTTTACAAGCAACAAATAAGAAAAAACAAGAACTATAAAGCTTAGAAAAGCCTCAACCATCAAACCATCAAACATTTTCTTTTTATTTATATGCCGCCTTTCTCCAAAGACTCAGGGCGACTTACAATGCGTTAAGCAATAGCCTTCATACTTTTGTATATTTATACAAAGTCAGCTTATTGCCCCCACAATCTGGGTCCTCATTTTACCTTCCTTTGAAAGGATGGAAGGCTGAATCAACCTTGAGCCTGGTGAGATTTGAACTTGTAGTAATTGCAGGCAGCTGATGTTAATAATAGTGCTTTAGTCTGCTGTGCTTCCAGGGCTCATTAGCAGAAAGTAACTGTGGTACCTTTTTTTAAAAAAAAGTTCACTGTAAAAATCCACATAACCATAAAATAGTTTATTTATCAAATTTATATAGCTGCCTGTCTCACAAACGACAAAATGTAGTAGTTCTTGAGTATCTTGCTAATAGGAAAGGCTTAACTTTTTACCAGTTTCCAGAACCCCATGAAGAAAAGGAAGGGAGATGGGCCAGGCCTGATGCAGCCAAGCTGCATCAAATTTACATTTAAACATTCACAGAGGAAAGAAAAATAATAATAATTATTTTTTTGCTCAAGGTTCATATTGTCTTGGGAAATACGCTAAAAAGATGACTATGGGCCTAGAGGAGAAAAAAATCAAACTTTAGATGTGATTAAACTTTTATGACATTGATTAAATGCAGGCCACGTAAATAAACTATTTTAATGGGAGAGAAGGAGAAAAAAAATAGCATTAAGAGGTATGGCATTTTTTGAAGAAGTTCTATCCACCCAAACTTTTTTGAAGCGGTTCTGGATTAGGGCATGGGACTGAACTAATTCTAATATTGAAAGGCAGTTTAGGAGATAGGAATATAGCACGAAAGAGACAGATGTTAGATTTACTACACATTTCTATAAATATGTTTACATGGCACCTGACTCATTCACGAAAAGAGTATCCAAATAGCTATGGTTCTTTTCCAAGATAATAGGAAGCTGAAAATATACGTGCACAAAATAATTTGTCTTTATTAAGGGGGGGAAGGAGGAAGATACGATAATGAAAAATAATCAACATGTGAAACTGAGTTCCTAACAATGCCCTTGTTCCAGCATGCAAATCAAGGCAAACAAAGAACTAAAAACTGGCCTCCAAGTTTTCCAATTCCTGTTTTGCAGCAGCTGTAGATGATTAAGAACAATTTATATGAGCAACAAACATCACTTTAAGAGAAATTCTAGACATCTCCCATCACAGGGCTCCAATCCTTGGGATGGGAAATCAGTTTTATCCATTATTTGAAAGAGAGAAGCAAGGGGAGGCCAATCAAATTTGCAGATGACACCAAGTTGGGAGGAGTGGCAAATACTTTAGAAGAGAAAGAAGATTCAAAAAGATCTCGCAGGAAAAATGTAAGGAACAAGTATAGTAAGGGGAATACAGATACTCCTCGATAAAACAGTTCCTTTAGTGTACTATATGTGTACTATGAACATACGACCATTCAAAGTTACAACATCACTGAAAAAAATGACTGTTTTTCACACTTAAAACTTTTAGCATCCCCAGGGTCACATGATTCACATTTGAATGCTTCACAACTGACTCACATTTATGACAAGTTGCAGTGTCCAGGACTGTATGTAATCTCCTTTTGTGACCTTTTGACAAACAAAGGCAATGGGGAAGCCAGATTCACTTAACCATATTTAATAACATGGTTATTAGCAACTGCAGTGATTCACTTAACAAATGTGGCAAGAAAAGTCGTAAAATGGGGCAAAACTCACTTAACAAATTTCTAACATAAAATTTTGGGCTCAATTGTGGTCGTATGTTCGTAGTACACGTATAGGTAGTCCTCGCTTAATGAACATTTAGTGACCATTTCAAGTTCGGCGGCACTGAAAAATGTTACTGATGACTGCTCCTTACACTTAACATCATAGTATCCCAAGAGTCCCATGATTGTGATTCAGGTGTTTGAGAGCCATTGTACATTTATGACAGTTGCAGCATGCTACATTCATGTGATCGTTTGTGACCACCTTCCCAGCTGATTCCCGATAACCAAAATATCAGTGGGGAAGCCAGCAGGAAATCTTGCAAGTCACGTGATGGCTTACCACAAATGACCACAGTAATTTGTTATAACAACGGTGGTAAAAAAAAAAGGTTGATTAAATTGGGTACACTCACATGATGTGTCACTAAACAAGTGTACCACTTAATGATGAATTTTCTGGTCCCTGTAAAGGTCTTAAGTTGAGGAGTCCCTATAAAAGGATCTAAACTAAATCTTAAACTAGAGCCAGCTGTGTGATGCAAGTGCTAAAAAAGAGCAAATACAGTGGGAACCTTTGGTGCTCAATCCTACTGGTCCCAATCCTAATGGCCATCCTTAAGATGCGGAAAACCTTTGTTCTTCGCCCAGGCCTTCAGCCAGAACATGGGATGAGCCCCAGTAGTAGGATTCAAATTTTTTTACTACGGGTTCTACGGGCGTGTCTTGGTGGGTGTGGCTTGGCTTGGTGGGCATGGCATGACTTAGTGGGTGTGGCAGGGGAAGGATACTATAAAATCTCCATTCCCTCCCCACTCCAGGGGAAGGATACTGCAAAATCTCCATTCCAACCCCACTCCAGGGGAAGGTTACTGCAAAATCCCCATTTCCTCCTGATCAGCTGGGATTGGGGAGGCAGAGAATAGATGGGGGTGGGGCCAGTCAGAATTTTTACTACCGGTTGTCAAGTGAGTCATGGTAGGGGTGAAATGCTCCCGGTTCGGACCGGATCACCCAATCCGGTAGCGATGGAGGAGGGTGGTTCGGAGAACTGGTAGCAAAAATCCCTGCCCCCCCCATTGCCGCGCATCATCAGAGGCTTTTTTTTTAATTTTTAAAAGCATTTTTTCTACAACCTCTTCGGTTGAAGAGGTTATAGAAAAAATGTTTTTAAAAGGAAAAAAAGCCTCTGCAGATCAGGCAAGTCAGCTGGGATCATCAGAGGCTTTTAAAAGCATTTTTTGTACAACCTCTTCAACCGAAGAGGTTGTAGAAAAAATGGTTTTAAAAGTAAAAAAAAAAAAAGTTGGCCACACCCACTCAGTCATATTACCACCACCACCACCAAGCCACGCCCACAGAACCGGTAGTAACAAATTTTACATTTCACCACTGCTAGAATGCGATAGTTGGCCTCACTTATTCTACTTTTCTCTTCTGGATGTTTGCTGTTGTTTGATTTTCTAACTCTTTTTTCGTTTCTAGCCAATTGAAAGCCAACCAGAGTCGCTTTTGTGAGTTATGTGCAGCCGCAGAAATAACATAAATAAATAAAATGCAATTCCCTCTAAGTAGAGATATAGCGGTGTGTGTTGGTACAAGAAATACTGCCTTCATATACACGCTGATAGGATTTGAGCTGTCTGAAACGCATCAGATGCCTTGGTGGCGCAGCAGACTAAAGGGCTGTTAAAGTAGCACTTAGCTGCCAGCTGCCTGCAATTACTGCGAGTTCAAATCTCACCAGGCTCAAGGTTGACTCAGCCTTCCATCTTTCCGAGGTAGGTAAAATGAGGACCCGGTTTGTGGGGGCAATAAGCTGA